ACACGTTTCCGCTACGCTGGCACTATGCCTTTCTAGCATGGTATCAGAGCTACTCTAGGGGGCATGCTGCCAAATTTGGTTCAGGAATTTACTGGCATTCACTTCGGATAGGTACCTGCATACAGTCAGAGTACCGCACACCCGGTCTACGCTTTCGTACACCTGGTGTTCGCTGCTGAGTACAACCGCGCGTTTAGCGCACACTTGGTGGACGGTTTGTCAAGGTCATGGCGCACTTCGATGGCGAAGTGGATCCTGGATATGCGGCTTTTGAAGAAGCCATCATGGCTCAGCATGAGCACCTGGAAAGCATGATTGCAAAGGCACCACCAGCACTCCAAGCTTCGTTAAGGGACAAGTTTGGAATGACAATCCAGCCAAGGACAACGTTCTCTCATGAGTCCAGCAATCCGTCCACCCGTGGACACTCTCATTCAAACACTCCGCGTACTAACCAAAACCGTGCATCAAATGTTCATGCAGGAATTGATGGTGAAGGGGAAATGGGCATACCTCAAGGAGGAGAGTCATCCCAAGGGAGGGATGCATCCGTCCAAGGAGAGGAGAAGGCCAATCCCGCACCTCAATCATCCATGCAAAGGGAACCACGGGGGAGGAATTATGAGTATGGGAGTGCAGTGCATGGTCGAGTGAGAAGTGGACAGATTGGGCAGCAGGGTGACGGAAATGGTCAAGTGGGCGTGGAAGGTGTGGGTTTTGCCTCCTACACTATTGGTGCTCCCCCACTACGACAACTTGCGACTAACTCCCATCCCATTGGAGCTCCTCTTATGGCCAGGTCTCACCTTCATGGCGGCAATGTCATACCTCTGCGTGCACCTCGTCGATCGATAGGCGCACACTATGTGGACAGCATGGGGCGGATGGGATACGGAATGCAGTCAAGCGGTGTCATGCGACGTGATCAAGTGGAAGTGCTGGAACGTCAACTTGGTGGACAGAATGGGAATATGCAGCGCACGGTTCAGCTACCTCGACCGTCAACCGTGCCTCCTCTCTTCGACCCCGCTCCACGTGAATACACGGAAGAAGACAAGGAACGGCTGTCACGCAAAATGGTGGGAGCAACGGTGGACAAAGCGTTCACCACTACTCCGTTTGATGGCTCGAACTTCCGGGAGTGGGCGCTACGGTTTCGTATGAACGCTCGCGTCACGAATCTGTGGGAGTTCTTTGTGACCCTGCAGTATCCGGTTACCATGGGAGATGGTGACATTAACGACGCTATGGAGCGGCTGGAAATGCTACAGGCGGATTACTCACAACGTGCGGCGCTCGCTTTTTGGGTCCTACTGCACAGCGTGAGCGCCACGATTCAGCTACAACTGGACATGTTTCAGGAATCCTATAGCCCGGCATATGAAGCATGGGAGTACTTAATGGATACGTACCAGGCCAAAGATTCGGTGGCGAAAGTCTCTCTCTTGAAGCAGTTGGACAACCTGAAAATGGGGAGTCAAGAGAGGGTGGAAGAGTACGTGAACCGCGCAACGACAATCCGGGACAAGTTAGCACTCGCGGGGAAGATGGTGGATGAGTACACATTCACCTTAAATCTGCTCACCGGACTACCGGCGCATTGGGAGGAAATGAGGCACTCGGCAATGCTACACAACGTGACGGACAGTTTCACCTTGCAGCGGATGATGATTCAAGAGCAGAGGTATCACGACCTCATCATGAAGGATAACCGTGACCGGCGTCCACCTCGCATGGTTGGACAAGCACGTGGAGACCGCTCACCTTCTCCAACTGCTAAGGGCAATAGCGAGAAGGAGGGGTCCATTGGGGAGAAAACGCATGGCAAGGATGGAAATGCAAGCCGCTCATCTCTCGTGTGTTGGTACTGCAAGGAGCCATGCCATCCTTTCTTCAAGTGTACCAAGGCACCCCCTGGCTGGACACCACCAGGGTGGGAACCGCATACCCGCGGAAAGGCAAAACTGCACACCAAGGACAGCCGTTCGTCCTCCCCACGAAGGAGTCGCAGCCCCAAGCGTGACAATAATGCGTCAAAACAGCAAGGGGCAGCCGGGGAAGACAAGCAACGTACTGTTACGTGCATTGCAACGGTGGGATCGTCACAAGCTACCTTACCACCAGCTAAAGCGTCATCGTGGTTGCTGGACAGTGGATGCAGCCAGCACATGACCTCGGAGAAGCGCTGGTTTGAAGAGTTAAGGGAGCTGGACGAACCTGTTTATGTGGAGCTCGCTAATGGGAGCGAGCTGAGCAGCACGATGACAGGAACGATCAGAGCAATGGCACCTGATGGGACAACAGTTCGCTACACTGAAGTCCTTTACGTACCTGGTCTGAAGAGCAACCTGCTCTCCTATTGTCAGCTGCTGAAAAAGGGAGCGCGCATCAATACCATTACTAATGGAGACACCGAGATCACCATGACTGATGGAGAGGAGTACGTGCGGATTGGACTTGGCAAGGACGTAGATGGAGTGCTCGTGGTGCAGTATGCGCATGTACTTACATCCGCCTATGATCCTGGACATTCCCGTGATGGCGCGTCATCGAATCCGGTTGATCGTGAAGGGGTTACCCTTTTCCGCACACCTGGTGTGCACATTGACGCACATGGGAGCACGGATTTCCGCACACCTGGGATGCACTCGAATGGCAAGTCTGCACATGCATCTGTCACCTACCGCATGGCACACAAAGCAAGCATCGTGCGGAACCCGGCACATGATGTTGCTACGGATGAAGTCTCACCCCACAGTGTGATGTTGACTTCAGGGGGAGAAGGAAAAAGGTCCGCGGTGGATTCGGGAGGAGATGGAGCAGGCCTTGTAGAACATGACTCACCTGGAGCTGATGAAGCTGATGCAACCCAAGTGGAGATGCTGCAGCAAATGACTTACCTACAGTAGGAGTGACAGTATCAGAGGAGGTTGAAGACAATGATGCTGAAATCAATTTGGGATGTGCAGCAACGGGCGTACCATCTGCTGATGATCGCCAAGTCAAGGATTGTGGAGTTGTACTCACCTGTTCGGCCACCTCAAACGGTGCTGCACAACATGGCATCACCTAACTCCACACTCACTCATATGCTTGTAGCTGTGTACGCGGATGACTACAAGCACATGGGTGAGGGGGAGGTGGGGTGTGGAGGGTATATGATGGAGCTGGAGTGGGACATGGAGTCACGAAGCATAATGGAAGACCTACTCACCAAGGGTTGCCAATAGGCAGGGGGAGCAGGAAGAAAGGATGCAGCCGATCGGCGTCATCCGTCGTGATGAAGAGGTATTGTGCGATTGGTTGCTGCAGATGAACGGCACCATCTGAAGGAAGGATGGAGAACATACATGGGAGTGAACATTACTGCATACCTGGTGTGCACGTTTCTCCATACTTGGTATGCACATCTCGGCATACTTGGTGTGCACTGCACACATGGAGTGGACATTTCTGCATACATGGAGTGCAGAGTTTTGGGATACTTGGAGTGTGTCGGCATGCGCAGCTCTCCAGCTGATGGAGTTCGGCAACTCTGGCTGCTACCGTGTGTCTGCTGGAGTGTATGGGGAGCATCACAGGGCAACATGGGTGAAGTTTGAGCACACTTGGCAAGATTGCCAAAGCATGGGGAGAAAGGCTTACGAAGATGCAGCAGGCGCGGACAGGCAAATGATGCAGTAGGCGCGCAGCAGCCGCTAACGAACACAAGGTCGTCGCTTCTATCGCGCGAAGTGTGCGCCCGCCAATGCAGTTCCGCGCCAGCCGTACGCCATGCGTTATCCGCTACCGATTCGCGTCATCCGCAGCTGCAGTCGTCGCAGACGCGCATCCGATGCGGTTTCGCGTCGTTGCACAGGAGGCGTGCGAAAAAGACAGCTGCACTGACAATCGCGTGTCGTAAAGTCTACGGTTTCGGAAATTCGACGTGCGCTAAGGGCATTCCGCCATGACGATACGCGCATTCCGCCATGGTTTTAAGGAGATTTCGTCATGGAGCTGCTACGGTTTCGTCAGCAGCAGCCACTACTCTCTAGATCTCGATCTAGAATGTCGAGATTGGAAGGAGGGATTTGAAAATGTGAAGGAAGATGGTTTGGTTGGAGTTTGGAAGGCCCAAAGGTTGGGAGGGGAAAGGTGCTACAGTGACAAGCAGCTTGGCCAACACCAAACCCTAACTTGGTTTGGGCGCACCCCTACCTTGTGGTGGTATACCACCTCGACCACCCCATCCTCCAAGGAACTCAGATTCACTAAAACCTACAGCAAGGGGGAGTGTTGGAAATCCGAATACAGTATAACGAATACTGTATACCAGTGTGCTGTTTGGTTTTAGTGTAGTCCTCTTTATAAGCCTCCAGGTCCTACAATAATTGTGACAATTATTGTAGGGCCACAATTATTGGAGCCCAACATTATTGGAGGGTAGAGGGTACAATTATTGGTACGCTATTATTGGTGTGAATGGGCCATTTTGGGAGGGGTACATGGTGCATAAATACCCTGCTGTGTCACTTCTTCATCATCATTGAGTAATCATTGAGTCATCATTGTGTTATCATTCTACTTTTCAATGATCAATGCAAGATTTTTATCTTGTTCTTTTCTACAAACACGTTTCCGCTACGCTGGCACTGTGCCTTTCTAGCAACATTTAATTTATTGCATTCTACGCTGACGCATATCGAATCAGAATATGGAAACAACTAAGCACTTCTGTTCCCCTCTGGATTAAACCTTGAAACTCGACTCACATGAAACCTCGACAGAAACCCTAGAAACCTCCGCGGTCGGCGAGGACTTTCTCTTTCACGGCGTTCGCGCGCTTGACTCTGACGCGATTGCTCCAAAATATTGGAATGGCTAGAATCTCGTAGACGATACCCAGTTGCGGAATGTTCGCACGCTCGTAGCTTCGAGTTAGTATCCGCGCACTAGGATTGACCGTAAAAAGCGGTATTATTATCGAATTCGGTATCTGGTTGTCCCTGTAGAAAGCCATGGGGCGAATGGATCCGCTGTTTCGTTTTGACGCGGATGACGATAACGAGGATGGAGGGGAGGTGGCGGCGTGGGATTTCAAGGGCGCGGGGAAGACTCTTGCGGAGGAGTTTAAGGAGCGAAAAACGACGTCCGTTGATACCAAGATTGAGATGATCCGACGGCGGAGAGCGATGGGGCTTGGGAGCACGAAGAGAGGGAGAGAAGAGGAGGACGAGGAGGAGGAGGATGAAGAGGAGGAGGAAGAGGAGGAGGATGAGGAGGAGGATGAGGAGGAGGATGTGGAGGAGGAAGAGGAAGAGGAGGAGGAAGAGGCAGAGGAAGAGGTAGACTTAGCGGAAGAGGAGCAGGAAGAGGACGAGGAAGACGAAGAGGAGATGGAAGAGGAGGAAGAACAGGAAGAGGAAGAAGAGGATGAGGAGGAGGAAGATGAGGAGGAAGAGGAAGACGAAGCGGAAGAAGAAGAGGACGAGGAGGAAAATGAGGAAGAGGAAGAGGCGAGTCACAAGAAGACTAAAAAGGAGGTATGAATAAACGAGAAGGGGTTGAGAGGGGTTCAACAGGTGGGTAGCGTGGTTAGAAGAGATGGGTAGGGAAGGAACGCGGCGAGAGTGAGGTAAGCCACGCGCATCTCGCACAACGTCCAGGGTTTCGGGGTCAGGGTTTTTCACAGGTTCGGGATGTGGGGAGGATTTCTGAGTTACAAGCTCTATGGTGTGGCTTAACGAAAGCATCACCCTTTGATGAAACGAAGCTTTCAACGGAGGAGCCAAACCGTTCAAAGCCAGGTGGGCTGAGTAGTTGAGACCAAAACGTCCAGAGCCGTTCTGAACTTCGACTTCCTCACCCCCTCCCCCTTCTCCCCTCCTCCCCCCCGCTCTTTTCGGCAGCCCAAAATAAAAGATATCGAAAAGGCACCCAAGGCAAAAGCCAGGCGAGAGAAGGAAGGAGCAGGAAAGGGAGAAGGCGGGGAAGGGGGGGGCGGAGGGGGAGGCGGGGGGGTGTATTTCGAGGGGGCGGAGGAGGCAGGGGCGCGGTTCTCTGCGTCGTCCTTCTCAGAACTGCAGCTGTCGCGGCCGCTGCTGCGTGCGTGTGCTGCTCTGGGGTATGACAAGCCCACACCCATTCAAGCGGCCTGTGTGCCGCTGGCTATGGCAGGCCGGGATATATGCGGCAGCGCCATCACCGGTTCTGGCAAGGTGTGTGTGTGTGTGCGAGTGTGGGGGTGTGTGTGTGTGCGAGTGTGAGGGTGTGTGTGTTGACCTGTCGTGTCCTTCTCAGAGCTGCAGCTGTCACGCCATCGCCGGTTCTGGCAAGGTGCGTTTGGGGGGGCTGTGTTGGGTGTGTGTTGCGGTTCTCTGTGTCGTCCTTCTCAGAGCTGCAGCTGTCGCGGCCGCTGCTGCGCGCGTGTGCTGCTCTGGGGTATGACAAGCCCACGCCCATTCAAGCCGTGTGCGTGCCGCTCGCCATGGCTGGGAGAGACATCTGTGGCAGCGCCATCACTGGGTCTGGCAAGGTGCGTTGCTCTCTTGTTGCTCGTGTCGTGCTGCTCCCGCATTGCTCCGGCATTGCTCTTCCTCTGCCCATTTTGGAGCGCTTGCTGTCCAAAATGGCACCTTGCTATTCCTTGCTCGCTGTCCGTTTCCCAAGCAAGTGGCGGCTCCTGTTGAGGCGCCTCCAGTTAGCACTCTCCCTGTGCCTCTTTCCACCTCTCCCTCCCATCCCATCCACCCCACTCAGACCGCCGCTTTCGCCCTGCCTATCTGAGGAGCTTCTGTTGTTCCGCCCCAAGCGGGTGGCGGCCACTTTTGAGGCTGTTATGATCACAAGTCTCCTTTATTTGCGTTCTTTCTCTCTGCCCCCTGGCCACACACAGACCGCCGCCTTCTCTCTCCCCATCTTGGAGCGACTGTTGTTCCGCCCCAAGCGGGTGGCGGCCACTTTTGAGGCTGTTATGATCACAAGTCTCCTTTATTTGCGTTCTTTCTCTCTGCCCCCTGGCCCCACACAGACCGCCGCCTTCTCTCTCCCCATCTTGGAGCGACTGTTGTTCCGCCCCAAGCGGGTGGCGGCCACTCGTGTCCTCGTGCTCACCCCAACCAGAGAGCTGGCCGTGCAGTGAGTGCTGTTTGCTTGTCGTACTGTGAACTTTTGGGTTCATGCACAGCCAACTGCTCCATGCTAGGCTGCGCAGCCTGGGCGCACAGGCATATCGCAAGTGTATATGGGCTTGCGATTCTTGCCTTGCTTCACACTTCCTTTTGAGTCGACTCAAAAGTCACCTCCATGCTAGGCTGTGCAGCCTGGGCGCAGGTATATGGGCTTGCGATTCTTGCCTTGCTTCACACTTCCTTTCCTTCGCATCCGCCCCCCCCCCCCCACCCCCCCCTCCTCCCCCCCCTCTCCAGCTCTTCCGTCTCAACCAGAGTGTACAGCATGGTGGAGAGAAGCTAGCTCAGTTCACAGATATTCGCAGAGGGCTGGTGGTGGGGTGGGGGGTTTGCTCGTCTGCCCATGCTCTACTCCACAAAGGTTCAATTCACCTTAGCATTGGTGGAGAAGCTAGCTCAGTTCACAGACATCCGCCACTGGCTGGTGGAGTAAAAGAGTAAACGTTGATCCAGAGATTAGCATTCACCTCTCTGCACCACTGCACACCCCTCCTCCTCCCAACCCCTCCAGAGTGCACGGCATGGTGGAGAAGCTAGCGCAGTTCACTGACATCCGCTGTGGGCTCGTGGTGGGGGGGTGGAGGGGCGAGGCCAGGAGAGCCTAAAAGTCCACGAGAGTGAAATTCACCTCTTTGCACCCCTGCGCACCCCTTCTCACTCTCCTCCCACCAGAGTGCACAGCATGGTGGAGAAGCTAGCGCAGTTCACTGACATCCGCTGTGGGCTCGTGGTGGGGGGGTGGAGGGGCGAGGCCAGGAGAGCCTAAAAGTCCACGAGAGTGAAATTCACCTCTTTGCACCCCTGCGCACCCCTTCTCACTCTCCTCCCACCAGAGTGCACAGCATGGTGGAGAAGCTAGCGCAGTTCACTGACATCCGCTGTGGGCTCGTGGTGGGGGGTCTGTCCATCAAGAACCAGGAGGTGGCTCTGAGGTCACGGCCAGACATCGTCGTCGCGACTCCGGGCAGGTGGGAACCTGGTGGGGAGCTGGGAAGCGTACTCTTTAGGTGTCTCAAGGCTTACTCGCTGTGGGCTCGTGGTGGGGGGTCTGTCCATCAAGAACCAGGAGGTGGCTCTGAGGTAACGGCCAGACATCGTCGTTGCCACTCCAGGCAGGTGAGAAGCAGAGAGACCTCAAGAGAGATGGATTGGGATGTGATGGGGGTCAAATGGGGGGGCTGTTCTCTGTGATGGGGATGTGAAGAACCAGGAAGTTGCCACTTCCCACTCGTCGAGGAAGTTGCTGGCTCTGTGCTTAGTTTTGAGGCGCCTCAAAACTAGACGTCTCAAAAACACCCTCACTTCATGTGAAGAACCAGGAAGTTGCTGGCTCTGTGCTTAGTTTTGAGGCGCCTCAAAACTAGACGTCTCAAAAACACCCTCACTTCATGTGAAGAACCAGGAAGTTGCTGGCTCTGTGCTCTGCTCTCACCCCCCAACATCGTCGCGTGAGGTGTATTTTGAGGCGCCTCAAAATACACCTCCTTGCCTCTTCCCACTTGTCGAGGAAGTTGCTGGCTCTGTGCTCTGCTCTCACCCCTCAACATCGTCGTTTGCCACTTCCCACTCTCACCCCTCAGCCCTGTGGTCCGTCCGTGCACCATCTGCAGATTCTGCGCAACCAGCCAGAGCAGATTTTTGAGGCGCCTCAAAAACAGATTCTGCGCAACCAGCCAGAGCAGAGTCTGCACCTGACCAACCTTGCCTTGCTTTTGTACCCTCAATTTCCCACCAATCTCTTCCTCTTCCCCCCTCCAGACTTGTTGATCATCTGCAGAACAGCCAGAGCGTTGACTTGAACGACCTGGCCATTCTGGTGCTGGACGAGGCGGACAGGCTGCTGCAGCTGGGGTTCCAGGAGGAGGTGATGGAAATAGTAAGTGCTGCCAAAAGTGGTAAGTGCTGCTGGAAACGGCAGTGTTGCCGGAAATAGTAATTGGGGTTGTTTTGGTGCCTATTTGGTGCTGGACGAGGCGGACAGGCTGCTGCAGCTGGGGTTCCAGGAGGAGGTGATGGGAATAGCAAGTTCTGCCCAAAATGGCAATCGTTGCCAAAAATAGTGAGTGGTGCTGTTTTGATGCCATTCCAGTGCTGGATGAGGCGGACAGCTGCTGCAGCTGGGGCTTCAGGCGAAGGTGATGGAAAGAGTCAGTGCTGCCGAAAATAGTAAGTGCTGCCAGAAATAGATGGTTGGTGCACCAGGCTTGGCCTATCTTCGGCCATTGTCAGTGCACAAGCGCCGTCAGACGCTGCTCTTCTCGGCCACCATGAGTGGGGAGGTGCAGCAGCTGGCAAGCCTGTCCCTAAACCTGTCATTCGAAAATCCCCTCCCCCCTTTCCCCCTCTCCCTCTCCTCTTCCCCTCGGTGCTCTTTGCCTCTCTCACGCAGGTGCGAGTGTGTCCCGAGCGCCGCCAGACTCTCCTTTTCTCGGCCACCATGAGTGGGGAGGTGCAGCAGCTGGCGAGCCTGTCTCTCAACCTGCCATTCACACTAGCCCCCCTCCCCCACCCACACCCCCTTGCCTTCCCTCTCCTCCTCCCCCCTCGCAGGTGAGAGTCTGCCCAAAGCGCCGCCAAACTCTCCTCTTCTCGGCCACCATGAGTGGGGAGGTGCAGCAGCTGGCCAGCCTGTCCCTCAACCTGCCGGTGCGGCTGTCTGCTGATGCTTCCATGCAGCGACCCCGCACACTGGAAGAAGAGTGAGTGATCGCGGGGGAAGGCGGGAGAAGGAGTGGGTGCAGGGAAGGGGTGAGAGGGTGGGGAAAGGCGGAGGAGAATTGGGTGGGTGCAGCAGCTAGCAAGCCTGTCTCTCAACCTGCCGGTGCGGCTGTCTGCTGATGCTTCCATGCAGGGACCTCGCATACTGGAAGAGGAGTGAGTGAGAGAGGGGGAGTGAACTGTGTGCAGGGTACAGAGTGAGTGAGGGGTTGACATGGCACTGTGAGTGACTGATTGGGGAGAGTGAGAAGCTGTGCGTTGGGGGCCTTACCTGCCAGTGCGACCTTGTACACTGGAGTGCGTTGGGGGCCTTACCTGCCAGTGCGACCTTGTACATTGGAGTGCGTTGGGGGCCTTACCTGCCAGTGCGACCTTGTACACTGGAGTGCGTTGGGGGCCTTACCTGCCAGTGCGACCTTGTACACTGGAGTGCGTTGGGTGCCTTACCTGCCAGTGCGACCTTGTACACTGGAGTGCGTTGGGGGCCTTACCTGCCAGTGCGACCTTGTACACTGGAGTGCGTTGGGGGCCTTACCTGCCAGTGCGACCTTGTACACTGGATTGCGTTGGGTGCCTTACCTGCCAGTGCGACCTTGTACACTGGAGTGCGTTGGGGGCCTTACCTGCCAGTGCGACCTTGTACACTGGAGTGCGTTGGGTGCCTTACCTGCCAGTGCGACCTTGTACACTGGAGTTCGTTGGGGGCCTTACCTGCCAGTGCGACCTTGTACACTGGAGTGCGTTGGGGGCCTTACCTGCCAGTGCGACCTTGTACACTGGAGTGCGTTGGGGGCCTTACCTGCCAGTGCGGCTGCTGCTGCTGCTTCCATGCTGCAACCTTGTACACTGGACAGGAGGAGGCCATACTGCTTGCTCTTTCTTCCCTCTCCAATTGCCATCCCCTCATTCTCCCCCACTCCCTCCTCCCCCACGCCCCCCTCCCCCACCCCCCTTCTCCAGGGTGGTTCGAGTGCGATCGTCTCAGGAAGCAGACCGAGAGGCCATGCTGCTGCGCAGTGTGCTTTTTCTGCTCTCTCCGCTCCAAAACTTATGCCTCTTACTCACTCCTCCCATTGGCATCCCGTCATCCTCCCCCTCTCCCTCCTTTTCTTCTCCAGGGTGGTTCGAGTGCGATCGTCTCAGGAAGCAGACCGAGAGGCCATGCTGCTCGCTGTGTGCTCCAGGCTCGCCAAAACCGCTGGCGCAGGCTCGGAAGGAGGGACGGATGGTGGTTCGGAAGGAGGACAGGCAGGAGATTCAGGAAGAGGGGAGAAGCGGAGTAAAGCACAGGGGGGTGGTGGAGTGATCGTTTTCAGGTGAGCTTTGAAATTATTTCAACAGACACCTTGGTTTCAGGATGGTGAGGTGGGGGGAAGGGAGAGAAGCGGAGTAAAGCACAGGGGGGTGGTGGAGTGATCGTCTTCAGGTGAGCTTTGAAATCATTTCAACAGACACCTTGGTTTCAGGATGGTGAGGTGGGGGGAAGGGAGAGAAGCGGAGTAAAGCACAGGGGAGTGGTGGAGTGATCGTCTTCAGGTGAGCCTTCTGTTGACTGAAATGGCACCTCGGATTTAGGGGTAGGGGAGAAGAGGAGTAAATTGCAAGAGGGAGGAGAAATGATCATCTTCAGATTCGTTTGTGCAGCTGGTGTGCTGACACGTGAAATGGTTCTGACGTGTCATGTGCTGGTGCTGACGTGGTTCCTGTGGCTCAGCATGTTCTGCTGCACGCTGTTCATTGGTGGCTGAGCACACCCCTATCATATGCTGACGTGGCACCCGTTTCTCCCTCCTGTGGCCGTTTTTGTTTGTTTGCAGCGGCCGCAAGGTAGAGGCGCATCGGCTGAAGATTATATTTGGTCTGCTCGGATGGCGGGCGGCGGAACTACACGGGAACCTTACCCAGGCCATGCGACTGGATGTGAGTGAGCAAGGGGGATGTGAGTGAGCAAGGGGGATGTGACTGCATGTGGTGCTAGTGCTGGGATGGCGGGTAGCGGAACTACACGGGAACCTCACTCAAGCCATGAGACTGGATGTGAGTGAGGTTACTAATCACACGTCGCATGGCCTGGATGTGACCTCACTACTGCTGACGTGGTTTCTTTTGACGTTGCAGCCAGCCTGCAAGCCACTACCCATGAGAACCTCACCTCACACGTCTGTCTGCGCGTTTCCTGCTTGCTTGCCCCGTGTGCATGCCCAATCCTTGCATGCGGTTCTGCATGCACGATGTGGACATGCACCTTAAGGATTGGGCATGCACGCGTGCTTGCTTCATTCTTGAAGCGGTTCTGCATGCACGATGTGCACAGAAGTGCATCTAGTCCACTGTGCACGATGTGCACAGAAGTGCATCTAGTCCACTGTGCACGATGTGCACAGAAGTGCATCTAGTCCACTGTGCACGATGTGGACTTTCTCATCGCCTCGCCACTGATGTTGCCGCTTTTGAGGCGCCTAAAAAATCGTTCCTGCCTCCTTTCCCCGCTCGTGCCTCTTTGCCTCCTTTCTCCACTCAGGCGTTGGAACGATTTCGGACGCACGATGTGGACTTCCTTATTGCCACTGATGTCGCTGCCAGCCTGCACACGCCACTACCCATTAGAATCTCACCGCACGTTTCTGTGTGCACGTTTCCTTGTTTCCCTGCTGTCCTTGCTTTGCTGCACCCCCTTGCGTCCAGGCCTTGGAACGATTTCGGACGCACGATGTGGACTTCCTTATTGCCACTGATGTCGCTGCCAGGGTGCGTGTGCAACGATTGCGTTTTATAAGGCCTTTTTTTTCTCTCGTTTTTGCTACTTCTTTGTCTTTTGCTAGTCGTTTTTGTGACCGATTAAGTGTCCTTAAGTATTCGTTTTGAGACATCTCATTAATAATCCCATCTTTTCCATTGTCCTTTTCATTCCCCGCATTTCCCAACCTCTCCTCCCCCGGACTCCATTCAGGGTTTGGACATTGCTGGAGTGCAAACAGTCATCAACTACCACACACCCCGTGAAATCACCAAGTGAGTGGTTTCAAAATTGCAGTGGTCAGCAGATCGCACACTATACCTTCATCTCTGTTACTTATATGCATTCCCCTGTCGTTTTTCATTCCTCGTGTCTTCTCCCTCCCATCCCATATCATCCCCATCCTTTCTCTATTTTCCTCCAAACGCCCCCACCCATCTCCCCTTTTCCCGGCTACGTGCACCGAGTGGGGAGGACAGCATGGGCAGGGCAGGGAAGCTAGGGCTTACACACCCTTCCTTTAACATACTCATCCCCTCCTGCCTTCTCCAACCCCTCCTCCCCTGCCTTCCCCTCTCCTCCCCTGTGCTCCCCAGCTACGTGCACCGAGTGGGGCGGACAGCACGGGCAGGCAAGCTGGGATCGTCAGTGACCTTCGTGGGGGAGAAGGACCGAAGGCTGCTGAAAGCGATGGTGAGTAGTGGGGGAGGGGAAGGAGAGTGCATTGTGCAAGGCTGGAAGAGAAGGTGAAGGAGGGAAAGGGAGGGCAGCACGGGCAGGGAAGGGCGGATCGTCAGTGACCTTCGTGGGGGAGAAGGACCGAAGGCTGCTGAAAGCGATGGTGAGAGCAAGGAAATGGCGGGGAAGAAGGGATGAGATGAGGAGGCGAGGTGGAAGGGAGAAGAGTGTTTGTACAAGATATGTCAGCATGATGTGATGTGATGTGATGTGAGGTGATGTGAAGTGAGAGCCTTATGTTCCCTTCCTCTCTGCAGGTGCAAGGCAGCATTCCGCACATCTCCATCATCCTCTCCCTCACCAACCTCCGCCTCCTCCTCTCCATCCTCTCCTCCCTCACGCCACCCCCATCCTCCCTGCCTCCTAAACCAGCACACCAGCCATCCTCCTCCGCTATCCTCTTCCCTCCCACCGCCTCATCCTCCCAAACCCCTCCCCACGCTGCCCCCACCAGCAGCAACAACCCTCTGCCTGCCTCAGGGCCCATAGCTGTCCCACATCGCGTGGGCCAGCTGCAAGGAGGAATGGGGGGTCAAGGTGCAAGGAGGGGGACTGCAGGCGAGGCAGGAAATGGGGGCGGTGTAAGGAGTGGCAGTGGGGGGCTGACATCCACACCGTCCTGGTCCGAGATGCTTCACACCATTCTGCAGCGCGACGCTGCCAAGGTGCCACAGCAGCTGCTGGCCTCACCCGATCTAGACAACACTGGGCTCCCTCTGCTGCTACTGGAACAGCAGCAGCAGCAGCATGAGGCTGGGCTGTGAATGAGGGTGGCAGCAGCAGCAGAGATGGGAAAGCAGAATTAGGAACAGGAGGGATAAGTCGGGTGCAGTCACGGCGGGTGGCAGTGGCGAGTGGCATGGACGTACTAACAGGCACGCCAATTTCAGATGTAGGAGTGGCTGTAGGGAAAATCACAGTGCGCCTGGACATGAGTGCCTCTTCGACAGAGCCTCTTGGTTCCAGCAGCAAGCGCAGCAGGGCTGGGCAAAGCAGGGGGTCCGGAGGCAGCGAGTGGAGGGCATGGAGAGGGATGTGGGATGGCATTGACTGATGTGGTGTCCCATCCCATCTATCCTTCTTCCACACCCTGCACCGTTTTCCCCCCTGCACGTCACACCGGACGAGGCGGGCAGGAAGGAAGCTGAGGCAGCGGCAGATAGCGCAAGCGGCGGTGGAGCGGTGGAGGCAGCGAGTGGAGGGCATGGAGAGGGACGTGGGATGGCATTCTGTGATGTTCCCCATCTCAGCCCGCAGTCCCACTTTCTCTTCCTGCCTCTCCCTCCCTTCCTCTCCCTCCCACTCTCTCTCCCTGCAGACGAGGCGGGCAGGCAGGAAGCTGAAGCAGCGGCAGATAGCGCAAGCGGCTGTGGAGCGATGGAGGCAGCGAGTGGAGGGCATGGAGAGGGACGTGGGATGGCATTCTGTGATGTTCCCCATCTCAGCCCGCAGTCCCACTTTCTCTTCCTGCCTCTCCCTCCCTTCCTCTCCCTCCCACTCTCTCTCCCTGCAGACAAAGCGAGCAGGCAGGAAGCTGAAGCAGCGGCAGATAGCCCAAGCGGCTGTGGAGCGGTGGAGGCAGCGAGTGGAGGGCATGGAGAGGGATGTAGCGGCTGTTATGAAGCAGGAGAGGGAGGAACGGGTGCTGCGAAAGGCAGAGATGGAAGCAGTCAAGGTGGGTGGGTGGGCGGGCGGGCAGGTGGGTGGGTGGGCAGGCTGGCGGGTCGGCCGGGGTAGGTGGGTTGACCCGGGGAGTTGAAGCTGCTGTGTCTAGTTTTGCGACTTCTCAAACCGAAGGGTTTGACACACACTGTTCTTCTTGCTAGTTTTAACTTTGAACTGACTTTTTTTCTTTCAGAATTTTGAGGACATGACTCCAGCTGCTATCCTTGCTTCTCATCTCCCTTTCCGCTCAACCCCTCCCTGCTGCCACGTCAGGCTGAGAACATGCTGACTCATCGCGATGAGATATTCGCCAAGCCCAAGCGCACGTGGTTCCAGAGCAAGAGGGAGAAGGAGGCAGTGGCAGAGGCGGCTAAGGCTGTGGCTGACGCTGAGGCAGAGGGCGGGGAGGGCGGCAGTGGGAAAGGGGGAGGGAAGGGAGGAGGGAAGGTGCTTTCACTGGAGGAGCTGCAGGAGAAGAGGAGGAAGGAGAAGCTGAAGAAGCAGCGAGAGGTGAGCAATGTGTTGCTGAGATGTGGGAGGTGAAACAAACACTAGGGGTGGGAGGCGGAAGCTGGCGGCAAAGAGGCAGGCACAAGGGGAGGAAGCAGCACAAGCCTTGGGGCCGGATGATGCACCTGCACTCCCAACTAACCTGTACCCTCCTCCTCTCGTCTCACTCTCCGCCCCCCCTTGCCTCCCATCCCCTCTTCCCTCTCCGTTGTCCTTGCCCTTTTCCTCTCCCTTTCTCTTTCCTGTTCCAGAAATCCCTGCAGAAAGCTAGAGGCAGAGAGGCAGGCACAACAAGAGGAGGAGGGGGCCTTAGCACAGGCCTTTGGGCTGGATGACTTTTGAGTCGACTGTTGCTGGATGCACAGGCCTGGATGCACAGGCCTGGATGCACAGGCCTGGATGCACAGGCCTGGATGCACAGGCCTGGATGCACAGGCCTGGATGCACAGGCCTGGATGACTCAAAAGTCACCAGGCCTTTGGGCTGGATGAATTGAAATTGCCTGCTCTTGCTCACATCGTCCCTCGCCCTTCCCCCTCCCCCTCCCTCTAACTTATCATTTCTTCTCCCCTTCGAGAAATTGCTCCTTAGGAAGAAGCGCAGAAAGCTAGAGGCAGAGAGGCAGGCTCAAGAGGAGGAGGCAGAGGCACAGGAGTTTGGGTTGGATGATGCATCTGATGGCAAACCCAAGGCTGGAGGAAAGACAAGAGCCAAGGCACAAAAGCCTTCGGGCTGGATGAAGCTGAAAATTTTTCGGATCTTTTCACCTTTGGCTGCCCCCCTCCCTCCTCCCCCTCCCTCACCCTTTCTCTTTCTTTCCCCCCATCCAGAAATCCCTCCCAAGAAAGAAACGCAGAAAGCTAGAGGCAGAGAGGCAGGCGCAAGAGGAGGAGGCAGAAGCACAGGAGTTCGGGTTGGATGAAGCATCTGATGGGAAACCCAAGGCTGGAGGAAAGACAAGAGCCGATCTGGCTTACCGCAAGGCCAAGGCAATCAAATCCGCAGAGCGGCTCCGGGCAGCTGGGAAGATTGTCAGCCTGCCCAAGGCGGGCGGCCGGGCAGCTGGGAAGAAACCGAAGCAGAAAACGCCGTCCCGGTCCCGAGAGATGAAGGATCTGTTTCAGACGGATATGGCCAAGGGGAAAGGAGGGGGAGGGGCTGGGGGGGAAGTGAAGGGGAGGGGGAAGGCTGGGGGGACTTTCAAGAGCAAGAAGCGGTGAGTCTGTCTGTCATCCTCTTGGCTGTTACCTCTTGACTGTTACCTCATGACTGTTTGAGAAGTCTCCAAGAGGACGGTGGCGGGCCCCTTTGGTCCCCACTTTCCAGGGTTTAGGGTTTAGTCCTTTTAACCCCATATTGTTTGGCCCTCCCTTAGCATTCTGACTTGACATGCATGCATTTTCGTCTTTCCCTTGCGCTCTGTTCTCCTCCTGGCAGGTACAAGAGGCGGTGAGACAAACTGAGGGTCATCACGTGGCTTTCAGATAGGAGAGTGCACCTGAAAGGCTTGTGCATGGTTTCTGCTGTTGCAGCAGATTCACTTGCTTCATTGCTCTTGCAATGATTGCAGCTATAGTCTGTCTAAGACCAGTTGCTGTGCTCTGCAGTACAGTACCGTATGTATGGACTCCTAATAACCATGCTCAGTCGCGCAAATGCATGTGTCTAAGAGTGAATTGAGCGGGCACAGTGAAGCCACATTGCTTGATGAAAAAAAATGAAAGAAATCCTGCGAGTCACAGACCAGGGAGCGCGACGTGGTCCACTGCACTGCTAACATACGGTATCTGCGAACATACCGTATGTGTGTGGCTTCACCACTGGCATGGCTATTGAATGCTGTCAATTCAATGGGTGACCGGAACTGACTATGGTGCAGTTGTACGGTATGTATCACGGAACCACGTGCATCTCCATGAGTGACTGGCCTGGCTGGCAGTGTGGTCCACAGCAGCAGCAGCAGCAGCAGCAGCAGCAGCAGCACCATTCTCTAGCACGCACTGCCCACACGTCTTCATGGACCTCATCCTCATGGCAGCACAGCACTACCACCAACAGCAACAGAAGCACATGCGTTGAGATTACATGAGGTGACTTTTGAGTCGACTCAAAAGTCACCTGGCAGCGTGGTCCACAGCAGCAGCAGCAGCAGCAGCAGCACCACCACCACCACCACCACCATTCCCTAGCGTGCACTGTCCACACGTCCATATGGACCTCATCCTCATGGCAGCACAGCACTACCACCAACAGCTACAGAAGCACATGCATTGAGATTACATGTGTTGAGTTTACCGCACTTGTGTTGAGATTATTATGCGTGAGAGGCATCAATGAGTTGATATGGCATCATGTCTGAGCGACTTTCAGTGAGTCACAGGCCAGGCATCGATCTGCAGCAGCAGCATTCTCTAGCGTGCACAGCGTACAAGTCCACATGGCCCCCGGGGCAGCAGCACTGTCAGCAATGACTGCAGCACTGTCAGCAATGACTGCAGCACTGTCAGCAATGACTGCAGCACTGTCAGCAATGACTGCAGCACTGTCAGCAATGACTGCAGCACTGCCACAGCCAGTGATTGCAGCAGCAGGGTAATCCTCGATTACAATGGCTGCATCGGCACTGGTACCAGCAGCAGCAGCACCAGCAGCGGTGGTGGGGGGCGTGGAAGCAGCGGTCACTGCTGCGCGAGAACTGGCCGGGCCTGAATGCGGTCGCACTGCAAGGCACGCCTCGCACTGTAGCACAATGCCCTACAGGAAAAAAAGAAAAGAAATAAAGAAATAAATAAATAAAAGAAAAATCATAAGGGATGATTCACGCTGAGGCGCACTGTACCAAGTGCTTCCTCATATTGGAACCGACAGGGCAGGTACCATACTGTGTGTGTGATGGTCATTGACTGCCTGAATGGATTCAACTGCATGCCCGCATGCACATGCACACACGCACACACTCCCCTCTCCCCCCACTCTTTTCCCCCCCACACACACATGTTAAAAGCTCCTAACTCACCCGGTTAATCAGTGTGCAAACACGGCACGTCCAGTTGTCTTCTCTCCCCACACCCTCTGCTCCCTCTGCCCTGCCTGCTCCCGCTGCCTGCTGCTCTCCTCCTGACACATCGCCCCCTCTAGACCCATCTGTGAATCTTTCTCTGGCCGCATCAGCTCTCTTACTTGCTACAGCACTGCTTGCAGGCATCTTTCTGCTCCTACTGCTCTGCTCCTCAGTCACACTTGGCCGCTTCCTTGCCCCACCAGCCTGGCTCGCCTCCCCCGTTCTGAAGCCATTTGCACCTTGTACACAATCACAACCACCGTTACAGTCACAGTCCTGATGCCTGGACGCGTCACTCTGCGCACTTCCACTCCTCACCCTCCCTCTGCCTGCCCCTATTTCATCCCCCTCCAACCCAGAACCAACAGCACCACCATGACCTTCACCCATTGCCATTCCTCCTCTACCATCATCTCTACCATCAACTCTATCATCGTGTCTAACATCGTTTGCACGCTGCTGTGACGCATTACCCTCTCTCACTTCCCTTGCACTCTCCCACTCCTCCTCTTCCTTTTCCCTCGCCCCGCCTTGACCCCTATCCCCTCCCTCTCCTCCCTCCCCTCCCTCGCTCCCATGCCCACCACACCACACATCGTCCCTCATCCTTCTCTCTGCTGCCATAGCAGCTGCCTGCACCGGACTCAACACCTTCATAATCTCACTGTCGCCGCCCAATCGCCGCCCGCCCACAGGCATCATGATCCGCTGCTGCTGCCGCCTCCGCTCCGCCGCTGCTGCCGCTGCTTTTCTGCTTGCCCCGTCAGCAGCAGACGGGGCAGAAGAAGGGCCAGCAGGGGTAACAACCCTGAAAGAGGAAGAAGCAGCAGCGCTGGCAGCAGCAGCAGCAGCAGCAGCAGCAGCAGCAGCAGCAGCAGCAGCAGCAGCAGCAGCAGCAGCAGCAGCAGCAGCAGCAGCAGCAGCAGCAGCAGCAGCAGTGCCTAAGCGGACTGGGCGAATGGAGGGATAAGCAGAGGAGCCGAGGCGGTGACCAGATCCCCCAAAGGGCGTTCCTGTTATGCCTCGTGCTATGAGATCATCACACTCCTGCTCATATGGGTTTGGGCAATGAGAGACACACGCACGAAAAAGGTTTGTCCAGCCTCCAGCCTATGCTTGTGGGAACTCCAAATAGCACATGCTTGGATGGGACGAGGGGGCATTGCTACACTGAAGTGGAAGACGGAGTGACTTTTGAGTAGACTCAAAAGTCACTTGGTCAAAGCAGCACATGCGTGGATGGGACGAGGGGGCATTGCCACACTGAAGTGGAAGACGGAGAGGACGAGCGCGTTACTGCACTTACCTCATTGAGTTCGTCTAGTAGCTTGTAGAACTTGGCATCGTGGGGGCCTCGTTCGATGTGAGTGAGCTCGTGAAGCATGGTGCCCAACACATGCTCGTATGGGAAGAATGAGTCCGGCTTGCCTATTCAGTGAATCAAGATTGCAGGAAAAGAATGAAAGAAAGAAAGAAAGAAAAGGAAGGGCAACTCAAAAGTTGCAGCTGGTCAGCTCATACGAGAGCTTGCAGATTGTGTGTGAATTGACACGATCTAACTAATCAGCAGTTATGAAGGGAGGTGCTCGATGCTTTCTTCCAAGGAATGGGATAGTTTGATTGCCTGCCGGTCAAGGTCAACCCCTACTTGCAATGAGCTCGTCCGCGGTGGTTCGCAGCTCACGCTTGTAAGGGAAGGGCGAATCTAGCTATCCTGACCGTCTGAGTCGAATCACTAGCAGGTTGACAATAAGCATGAACAAATGTCAGGTACAACTCCCGATAGTTCCCAACGCTTGCCTGCGGGTCTGAGTCGTATTCGAATCTCCCGGCCTCGGTTGATGTTGAGACCCAGGAGCCGAGCATTGCTGGGACTGTGGGATGGGGAACAGTCAAAAGCTAATCATGGTGCGAGTGTGAACGAGGACCATAATCGGCTCCACCTGCGTAGCGACTCGCTACAACAGGCTTCTCTTGTTGAGACGAGTAAATAACCAACCTGTTTTTAGCGCGTCTACTGAGGCTCGAACCTGAATTCAGACAGCAGCGGCACCTTCCATCGGCGCCGGATCATAATCGGCTCAACCTGCTTCGCCACTCGCTCCAGCAGGCTTCTCGCCTCGTCGCTCCGCTTCTGCCGCTTCAGCGCTCTGATCTCCCACACCTTGTAAAGACTCGCTGATCCCGACGCTCCATTTCCCGCTATTGGTGCCATAACTTCACGCACAACCACATTTACATGCAGGGACTAATATATATGAAAATTCCACACTTCGTAGCTCAACAGTCCCGACGCTCCGTTTTTTGCTAGCTGTGTCGTAATCTCGAAAACGATTACATACTCGACATCCATAAATTCATATAGCCTACAATTCTGGGCGTGGCTTTCTGGGAATTAGTAATGAACACATCAAAAAAAGAAGCGGAATCTCGCTATCAGTGCGACTATGGGACCAGACGAACGCATAGGTGGCCCAACGGAGCTAGGAGAATCTAATAGAAACTAATACTGGCCCAATGCACTAACAATATTACTGCGCAGCTCTGACTACGCTTGAATCAAGGACGAAACTGCTTCAAGCTGACGCCATCTAATGCTGGGAACTCGTGATGTGCTGGGTGTGTGTTGGTGTTGTGTGTTTTTGCTGCTTTTTCCGGACAGATCTTCGTAAATCCCAAGAATTCCTCCTCGTTTCCCGCCAGCCCAAGCTAAACGTAGGTTCCAGACGTTGACGAAAATCCTTGCGATCGCCAGCTGGTTACTCGCCGGCGAAAGACTAGATTCAGCAGCACGCAGGACCCTTCGTACAACGCAACGTTCGTGGCTTTTGACGGACGGGCAGCAATTTCCTTGTCAGCTGTGCCCTGCCCAGACTTCTTTAGGGGACCAACCAGCTGGCCGTTTGTACAAATGTTCCGGGTTAGAGGCCTTCGCTGAGAGAGTCACTTTTCCCCCCTGAGTAGAATTTTCCGATATCGCCTAGGGTTGGCCCGACCCCTATAGTCCCTTTTTTGGCGGAAAATTTTGCAGCTTGACCGAATCATTGTACGAATCAGCTCCGCAGCCAATCAGAGGCTCCAGATCAAACCAGCCCAACATTCAAGGAGAACGATGAAGAAGGGATCATCGGTTCGATATTTTAACTTATAAATTGTGAGTAATTGTTTCTCTTGACCGTGACTACTTCTCAATCCTGTCGCGCTGTCTCCAGCGCGATCGACGATGACATCTCATTTATCTCGCTTACAGGGTAAAAAAGAAGTTTTTGGGTCACTATTCGACCCCCAAACTATAGTTGATTTTGCTTTTTTTTACCTTTAGTCATGCGACATTGATCAGCGTGGAAAACCGTGCGACTGGAAGTTGAAGCAAGCGCGGTCCAAATCTACGTAAATGCCAAAATCCAGAAACTAGTAGCGAAACAACCACTCTTCATGCAATTATCTTGAACTGGACTATAAGTGTCGCGTTTTGCCTGGGGTTTGAAGGGTTTTGCACATCGTCCGCGCGCGGCGATGTGGATCCGTCGGACTATAAACGAGAACATTTGTACTACAGCTTGGCGGAAACCAACATTGGCGCATTGTGGCTCATGTAACGATGACACCATCCAAGTAAACGGACGGCTGGATCACCTCGATTTCATGCACGTCTTCTAGAGCTTATCGGATAACCCTGAAAAACTGCCCCATCAATCAGCGTCGTGCCGCATGTGAAATTTGGTACAGTATTCCAGCCCCACCCGGCCGTTCTCGGGGTGCAGTGGGTAGTGGGCGCAACCTCCAGGTCCTGGCTGCCGTACGATGAAGAAATATTGTCCGCTCTACGTGCTCGGAGTACAGTTGAGAGGTTAGTTGGTTACGAGTGAGATGGAAAGCAGAATTAATTAGTCGAGGATGTTCGCTGCACAACGACGACATTTAATTGGGCACGAGTCGTATTGACGAATAGCTACACTTCAGACGAAAAGTCTCGCAAATTGCCGACAACACCGAAGGCTTGACGAAGGTGGGAACAGTAGCGCAGACTCCACCAGCGTTGGCGCTTTGCTCGACGATTCAAGCAAGACACAGAACAGAACGGAACGGAAGTCGCTTGTTCTGCTAGCATTGGCTGTTCCTGACAGCGAGCCAAGCAGCAGGAAACCAGCTCAGAACGGAGAGTTGACTCAGCAGGGCAGGCTTGCAAGTTAGGCTTCCAAGCAGTTAGACACCAGCTCGGCACGGCATTGCTTCTTGCGATAACTATTTGACGCAATTGACTTTCCTAACTTGAGCTAGCCTAAGAAATATATGCACTAATTTATGTTCACCGTTGCCCAGACATAGGCTACTCTCAAAGCGCTAAGACACACATCCGCTGTGAAGGTTTCCACTTTTCGTTCCAAAGCCACGCCTCTTGAATCTAACCTTGACTACGCCGCTTACTTAGTAATAATATTCTAATATTCTGACATAGTAATGCAATGTCGAGTGCGAGTGGAATCCATACTGGTTCCTCGCAAAAGCGCACATGGCTGCTCGATCGAGTCGGGTCTCCCGGCCCTAACGATGTCTCGTGTCCCGCATCGTTGGTCGAACTCGCGTTCGGCGCGCTTATCCCCGCTGTAAGCGCTTATCACTCGCGAGAAGCCGCTAGAGTATCGCAATCTGCAGAACCGTCGGCCGTTTCTTCTGAGACGTCGCAGAGCAATGACGCAGGAGTCGCGCAAACCGCGGAACTGTCCGTCCCCGATGCGGGGAAGGAGGCGGAGAAAGCGGAGAAGGATGCGGAGAGACACAGTGCGCGTGTGGCGTGGAAGTGCGAGCGACTGCTTCAAGTCTTGAACGCGTGCCTCTCGGAGCTTGACCCCTGGAACGATGCCGAAGGAGACACAGGTAACGTAACGGGACGTGGTATACACGCCATTTTTTTTTTTCTTAGGAACCTCAATAATAGAGTCCTCGAGCTCGACCCCTACAACAACGCTTATGGGGACACAGGTAATGTCACAGTAGTCGGACCACGGTGCACAAACCATTGGTTTTTCTCGTAAGCCGTTTTTTTTTCCTCGTGTTCGTGTCTTTTTTTTTTTTTTTTTTTTTTTTTGCGTGTCTGTTCCTTTGGCGCGATGCCAGCTCCGTCACGAGCAGAGGCTATTGTGGAAAATTATACTGTTTACTGAAAGGCAGAGCAGATTTGCGACGTCTTATCACACGATATTGCAAAAATTATGGGATGTGCACGTCAGACAAACGCACAGTTGCCACCGACTGCGTCAATTTTCGTTCTTTAATCTCCACCGTCCATTCCGTTGTCCTTTCCGTTATTTCTCGCAGACGACTATAATCGCAGCGCCATTGGTCAGAGCCACATGTCATCCTCTATATTCACATCCAGTTCTATCGCCAGCAGCAGCGCGCGGGGCAGCAGTATGTGCGGCGGAAGCAGGGGCGTCCTCAGCCGCAGCGCCACCCGCCCATACCGCCCGTCCACGGGAACAGGCAGTGGAGGAGGCGGAGCCGCGGGCGGCGGAGGAGGGGGAAGGATTAGCGGCATTGCGAGGGCGGTTAGTCTAGGGAATGATATGGGGACAGTGGCTGTCCCCGTTATTGGCAAACAGCAGTTTCAGCATAAGTCTGGCGGGACAACCCCTGGTGGGAGCAAGGGCACGTCCCCCATACACGGTGCAGACGGTCCCGTTATGAGGACGGAGCCTTTCAGTAGAGCAGGCGCCGCTGCATACCTGCAACGGTTCCATTCCCCCCAGGTAGCCTCCCCTGCTCCAGCAGCAGGAGCAGCAGCAGCAGCAGGAGGAGTTGCAACAGCAGGTGCAGCAGGAGGGATTGCGGACACCCCTCCTCGCACGCACGTCCGCCGTCGATCCGCGGACTTGCGTTCGAACCTCTCCCTCTCGCACTCCTCTTCCGTCCCTGACGGTTCTACAGACGCCACAGCCCCTACCCTGGCTAGAGCCGGTGGCTCAGGGCCTATCACGCCCCATCTGCCCGCTTCTGCTTCCGTCCCCAGTGGAAGGGGAGGGGGAGCGAGAGGGGGAGGCGGAGGAGGAGAGGGAGGGTCTACGACGAGCAGTCCGGGCCGGGATTGGTCGGAGCAGCTGTCTATGACTGATGCGCCTTTCCTGCCTGGTAGGTGCCACCTCACCTCTGCGTTGACCACCCTCCACCAATCCCCTGCGTTGACCTCCCTCCAACCCTGCGTTGGCCTCCCTCGTGTTGACCTGCCTCCTGCTTCCGCCATCGTTTACCTCAGTCTCATCGTGCTTCGACCTCACAGCATGCCCCTCACTGGCGCTGGAGTGGAATGACCTCTTCTTCGCCCTACAGGACGCCATGGCTGCGTATGACACGCTGCCGCTGCTCCATCTCCTCCCCTCCCCGCCCCCCTGTCCTCTCAGGCTCATCGTGCTTCGACCTCACAGCGTGCCCCTCATTGGCGTTGGAGTGGAACGACCTCTTTTTCGCCGTACAAGACGCCATGGCTGCGTATGACACGCTGCTGCTGGCGCCGCTGACCACTGGCGCGCTGCCACGTGGCAGCGAGGTGAAGGAGCTGCAGCAGATGGCGGATGAGCTGGCAGGCATGGCCCGGGACAGGATGAACGGCTCAGATGAGGTAAGAAATGACGATGAACGGCTCAGATGAGGTGAGAAGGAGTGCGTTGCTGCGGTGCTGGAAAATGCGTTGGAAGCTCCAACAGATGGTGAGGTCTTTCAAATGTTTCTCTCACAACGCATCCCACCTTTTCTTCCCCCCTCTCCCCTCCCCTCCCGGTTCGCCTCTCCTGCCCCTGCCCGCGCCACCCTTTCATTCCCTGCTGCTGCTAGACCGCCTCTTTGCCCTGCGGGTGCAGCACTCTAAAGCGTCTCAGAACGATTCCCCCTGTTCCCCTTCTTTCCCCTGCCCCCCTCTCTCTCCTCTGCACCCTCCCCTTGCTCCGCTCCTCTCTCTCAGGGCGACGCCCGCCGCTGCCCTCTGCTGCTAGTCCGCCTGTTTGCTCATTGCATCACTCCCATTGCACTCCCAGGATCCTCATCGCATCCCCCTTTCCGTCACCCCCCCCCCCCCCCTTCCTCCTTGTTCCGCCCTGCTCCCCTCTTTCAGGGCGACGCCCGCCGCTGCCCGCTGCTGCTGGTGCGCCTGTTTGCTCTGCGGGTGAAGCAGGAGACGCAACAGCTGTTGACCGTATTTCCAGAGGCGAAGGAAGAAGAGCCGCAGACACAGGCAGCAGCGCAACCAGAGACAGATGCAGCAGCAGAGTCAGCAGTAGGTGCAGCGGAAACAGCAGACAAACAGCAGCAGGAGCAGCAGGAGCAGCAGCAGCACATAGCAGGGAAACGGCAGCAACAGGTGCAGCAGCTGCTACAACTCCAGCAGCAAGCCGCCTTATCTCTCCTCACAGAGATCTCAAACGAGATAGAGGAAATCTTCTCAGCGTGTAAAGGTTCCCTGTACGGTCTTGGGATCACCCACGCTCGCTCCCTCGCCCGCCTTTCCCTCCTGGGGAAGGCCGTTCGCGCAGCAGCAGAGGGGGCAGGAGAGGAGGATCTCACGGTTCTGAGGGATAGCCAGGAGTTGGGAGGCGTTCAGAGGAAGGTGGGCGGAGAAGCTGCGGGGGCAGCTGGGGAGGGTGTATCTGCGTGTAGGGATGGGCTGGGGGAGGCTGTATCTGGTGCAGGGGGAGGTGGTGGGGGGAGGGAGGTGCCTCTGCTGGTGTGTCCTCAAAATGACTGGGCTAGGCTGAGTGCTGAGTGTGACAGTAACAAAGGGGGCGCGTTGAAAGAGGTGATTGTGTGGGACGATGGGATGGGGGAGCTACGGAATCTGTTCAAGTCAGCAGCAGCTGCTACTGCTGCTGCTGCTGCCGCTGCTCCTAGTCCTGTTGGTGCCGCTGCTGGTGGGTTCAGTAGTGGGAAGGATGAAGGGGGGGATGAGAGTAGCAGGGAGGTATCACCGAGATCGCCTAGAGGGCCCTTGGCAAGGGATGACGAGAGCAGGAAGAGCAGCAGCGGCGGCAGCACTGTTGGCAAACCTGCAGCAACCTCACGCGGAACTTTCAATCATGGTAATCACGCTTCTAAGAACACTGCTCTTTGTGTCGGTCTATCCTGTTACTCGTGCCTTTACTCTCCTGCATATCCTACTATTCACCCTTGTTGGCATCCTTTTCCATGACTCAGGCAGCACTCGCCCCAACCAGCGCCTGTGCTCACGCTTGTTGAGGCGCCTCAAAAATAGACCTTTTTACTCATCCATCTATTCACCCTTCTTACTGCCATCCTTCCCTCCCATCTACTCACTCCCCTCACCATGCAGGGGCATCTTCTTCCATGGCTCAAGGCAGCAGTCGCCCCAACCAGCGCCTGTGCTCACAGATCTTATTAGATCGCATATCAGATCTGATTTGGTACACCAAGTGGGTGGGTTGTAGCGACCCTGACGACCTCCCACTGGCCTGTATCCCCTCTGTAGTGCCGGTGACCATGCTTCTTAACGAGTTGGGCGCCCCTAGGTCTAAGGAATCCGATCTGCTCATGTGTCACCGCTCTGAACTCCTCCGTCTCGTGCTCCCGGACTTTAGGGAGAAAGTGCAGCAGCGATTGGTGGAGAGGGAGTTGGGTTGGATGAGCGAGGGCAGTGGGGTAAGAGGAGGGGTGGTAGGAGGAGGAGGTGTAGGAGGAGGGAGAGCAGCAGCAGTGAACGTTAGGGTTTCCAAAGCCGCAGCTGCCGCTGCCGCCGCCGCTGCTACTGCTGCTGGTTCTAGTGGGGCAGGAACTCCCACTGGTCGATCGAATCTTCCCGGCACTCCCACCACCCCCTCCGCTGCTGCTATAGCAGCCCAGCGGGAAGGGAAAATAGGCGGGCAGATCGGGAGCACCATATATGAGAGCGGCCGAAGCGACGCCACAGGTTCGGACGGCAGCAGCTTCAGCTTCGGCAAGCTGTCCGGCCGAGCCTCCGACCGAGCCTCCGACCGAACCTCCTGCCCAACCCCGGGCCTGGCTCCCCCCACTGCCAACCCTTGGGCACGGATGGGCGGGCCCTTCGGAACAGGATCGGGCATGGGCATGGGGATGGGGATGGGCATGGGGATAAGTATAGGTGTGATGGGTGCAGGGCTGTCCCGGCAAATCCCTTTGGAAGAGATTTTAGCAGCTACAGACTCGTGGGATCCGAGGAGAAAGCTTGGAGAGGGCGGGTTCGGGTGTGTCTATAGAGGGGATGCTGCTAACGGGGAGGTGTGGGCGGTGAAGCGCGCGAATACGGTTTCAGACGAGCAGCTGGAGGAGTTTGAGAAAGAGGTGAGAGTCTGTGGATAAGGTGTGGGTGAGGTGAGGTATTGAGAAAAGCTGCTCTGATGCGAACAGGAAGGGAGGTATGGGCTGTGAAGCGTGCGAACACGGTTTCAGACGAGCAGCTTGAGGAGTTTGAGAAAGAGGTGAGTCAGCTTGAGGTCAGTCGCATGGCCCATCAGCACCTTGTGTGTCTCATAGGCTACTTTGCCACTCCTGGTCACTCCTTGTCACTCCTTGCAACCACTTGCCACCGTTCCCTCTCCCAGGTGTCATTCATGAGTCGCATGGCCCACCAGCATCTCGTGCGACTCATAGGCTTCTGGGCGGACTGTGACGAGCGAATCCTCGTCTACGAGTTCATGCACAGCGGCATGCTCTCCTCTCGCCTCCACCGCAGCGCCTCCCACCTCGCCTCCTCCCACCCCGCTTCCGAAGCCCACGCCAAAGACAGCAAGCCGTTCTTCAAGCTCTACCCGTCATCTGCCTCGACTAGCAAGGCCGCTTCTGCTGCTGCTGCGCGTGCGTTGGACCTCCCACCTCCTCTGACGTTTGATGAAAGAGTGAGCATCGCTGTAGGAGCCGCAGAGGGGCTGCGATACCTGCACGATTTCGCTGCCGATTCTGTGATCCACCGCGATATCAAATCGGATAATATCTTATTAACAGATAAGCTCCAGGCGAAGATTGCGGATTTCGGGCTGCTGAAATCGGCTGATCTGGGAGGGCCAGGAGGGGGCGGTGCGGGGGTAAGCCACACCCGACTCATGGGCACCCCGGGGTATTGCGACTCAAAAACCTACATCGCGTCGGCAGAAAGTGATGTTTATAGTTTCGGCGTGGTTCTTTTGGAGCTGATTACAGGGCAGCGGGCGATTTTATCTGAGAATAGAAAGAAGGGCATAGCAGGCAGCATGGCGGCTTTGCTGTGGCTGAGACCGGGCGTGGGGGGGAAGACGCAGCAGCAGAAGGAGATGGAGATGCTGGGCTTTAAGAAGAACAAGAAGTCGAGTATGCGGGCCATCACGACGCTCGTCAGCTGGGTGAGTCTCTCGATTGTTGGTACTATTACTCTTGCACACCTTTTTACCATATGCTGGGCTTTAAGAAGAAAACAAGTCGAGCATGCGGGTCATCACGACGCTCGTCAGCTGGGTGAGTCTCTCGATCTTTTTTTCTTATTTCTTTTTTTTCTTTCTGTCCTTTTTTTTTCCTTTATGATTACTGTCAGTATGGTATGGTATGATGATTTTTGTCTCTTCTTTCTTGTAAATTACTCCTGCAACATCATGTGACCCAAAGTCCTCCCTTACCTACCTCTACCTCTTGCACGCCCCTTCCCTCCCTTCCCACCCGTCTATCCAGGCCATTCCTCTGATCACAGCAGGGAAGCTGAAATTCGCAGCAGACCCGGCCCTCGGATACAACTACACTAGCTCAAGTTTGTCTTTTTCTCCCTCTCCCTCTCCCTCCCCTCCCCTCCCACCCGTCCATCCAGCCCATTCCGCTGATAGCAGCAGGCAAGCTCAAGTCTGTAGTCAACACTAAGCTGTCTCTGGTGTCCCTCTCGCACACCCCTCCCCCACCCCTCCATCCATCCAGGCCATTCCGCTGATAGCAGCAGGCAAGCTCAAGTCTGTAGTCAACACTAAGCTGTCTCTGGTGTCCCTCTCGCACACCCCTCCCCCACCCCTCCATCCATCCAGGCCATTCCGCTGATAGCAGCAGGCAAGCTCAAGTCTGTAGTCAACACTAAGCTGTCTCTGGTGTCCCTCTCGCACACCCCTCCCCCACCCCTCCATCCATCCAGGCCATTCCGCTGATAGCAGCAGGCAAGCTCAAGGCCGTAGCAGACCCGGTCCTCGGAAACAACTACTCCTGCTCGAACCTGTCGACTCTACGCTGTCCCTTCTCTCCCTCTCGCACGCCCCCTCCTTCCCTCCCTTCCCTTACCCCCTATCCAGGCCATTCCGCTGATAGCAGCAGGCAAGCTCAAGTCTGTAGTCAACACTAAGCTGTCTCTGGTGTCCCTCTCGCACACCCCTCCCCCACCCCTCCATCCATCCAGGCCATTCCGCTGATAGCAGCAGGCAAGCTCAAGTCTGTAGTCAACACTAAGCTGTCTCTGGTGTCCCTCTCGCACACCCCTCCCCCACCCCTCCATCCATCCAGGCCATTCCGCTGATAGCAGCAGGCAAGCTCAAGTCTGTAGTCAACACTAAGCTGTCTCTGGTGTCCCTCTCGCACCCCTCCCCCACCCCTCCATCCATCCAGGCCATTCCGCTGATAGCAGCAGGCAAGCTCAAGTCTGTAGTCAACACTAAGCTGTCTCTGGTGTCCCTCTCGCACACCCCTCCCCCCACCCCTCCATCCATCCAGGCCATTCCGCTGATAGCAGCAGGCAAGCTCAAGGCCGTAGCAGACCCGGTCCTCGGAAACAACTACTCCTGCTCGAACCTGTCGACTCTACGCTGTCCCTTCTCTCCCTCTCGCACGCCCCCTCCTTCCCTCCCTTCCCTTACCCCCTATCCAGGCCATTCCCCTGATAGCAGCAGGCAAGCTCAAGTCTGTGGTCGACCCAGCCCTTGAAAACAACTACCCCTGCTCAAGCCTGTCGACTCTAAGCTGTCCCTTGTCTCCCTCTCCCTCTTCCTCTCCCTCTCTCTGTGCCTCCCCTCCCTTCCCTCCATCCAGGCCATTCCGCTGATAGCAGCAGGCAAGCTCAAGTCAGTGGTCGATCCAGCCCTCGAAAACAACTACCCCCCGGGAGCAATGAAAGCGCTCGCCAGCGTGGCAGCCATGTGCGTCCAAAAGAGTGCCGCCCAGCGACCGTCCATGGCTGAGGTGGCAACTCGCCTCTCCGCCATCCAGCACAAGGTGCAAGATTTGCATATTCAGGGAGAAGAGCCCAAGTATAACTTCCAGCCCACGCTTGCCGGCCCCTTACCTACTTCTGCCTCTACTGGTGGTGGTGCTGCGGCTGGTGGTGCTGCTGCTGGTGCTGTTGTTGCTGGCCGGTGGGGGAGTGGGGGCGGGGGAGGGAGTGGGGGAGGAGGTGGAGGAGGAGGAGGGGGAGGAGGGTCTGGGTCAGGCAGTAGCAGGAGTTTCAGTAGGACCGTTTCGGCTCCTGCCCAGCGGGTTGACCAGGCAGGGGGTGGTGGGAGTGGAAAGGAGAAGAAGAAGCATCGGTACCAAGAGGTGGGCAGACCAGCAGGGAGCAAGGAGGGGACGGGAGAGAGTGGGAAGGAGGGTGCTGTTGGAAGGGATGGGAAAGGCAAGGGGCTGTCGCGGCGGGAATCGTCTAAAAGCGCGAGTAAATCCAGTCTGCCTCTGCTTTCTGCTGGTGATGCTGTAGAGTTTAGCTCGCAACATGTTACAAACAGATACATGGCTGGGGGTGCGGGGGGGTTTTAACTGAATCTGTGGATTGTGAAAGCTTGCTTTCACCAACTTGTAAAGGCATCGTGCTTCATTTCATATGGGTATGAGGGCGTATCCATGTTCGGGTCATGAGCACTGTTCCGGGCATCCGCAATATGCGGATGACCCAAACAACATAAAACGCCACTTTGGGTCATCCGAACTCATGCGACCCCCAAAGAGCCGCGAGGATTTTCGCGCCAAAATCACGCTCCCCACAACAGTCGCATCCAATGGAGGGATGCCAAAACAGTTCGAAAGATCCTAGCAAGACCCACGCGAAACCACGCGAAACCCACCGAAGAAACACAATCGTCAAAATTCCCGGCGTGAATCCCCAAACGTTGGGAGCGCGACGCGGGAAATTTTAGACACACTCATGGTCACTGGGGCCAATTTGCCGAGTGGTTCGGTGCAGAGGTGTAAGACGTGGGACATTGCTGTCAAATGTTGTAGCCTATAGTGAGGTTTGTCTTAGGGGGTACAGAGGTTAGGGTTTGTCATATGTACCCCAACTCACATCAATGACATCATCACTTCCTTTCTTGACATGGTATCACCTAGGTTCGGATCCTGTGGGATCCCGCTTCTCCCGACCTCGTTCGTTTCGCCCGAGCCTGTCTCACTCTGTCGTACTAGTTGCGCACGTCTTGCCTGAGCCTAGCGCCGGCCCGCTCTAGTCGCGTTCGTTCGTTACCACTCGTCCCGCCGATCCACTGCTCTCGTAGCGTAGCGACCTTCTCCCCCCCCTTCCCCCCTGCTGCCCGTCGCGTTTCCCCCCCCTGCTGCCCGTCGAGTCGCGTTTTTCCCCCGGTTGCCCGTCGAGTCGCGTTTTCCCCCCCGCTGCCCGTCGAATCGCGCCTTCCCCAGCCCCCGTCGCGTCGCGCTCTCCCCCCACGTCGTCCCGTCGTGCCCTCCCCCGCTACTCGTCGCGAAGCGCCCTCCCCCCGCTGCCCTAAACGCCCGTCGCGTCGCGCCTGCCCGCCGTCGCGTCCCTACCCTCGCCCTGCGCCCGTCGCCCGTCGCCTCCCTACGCCCTGCGCCCTGCGCCCGCACCTCCCCGCGCCCTGCGCCCTGCGCCCCTTGCCTCCCCGCGCCCTGCGCCCTGCACCCGCGCCTCCCCGCGCCCTGCGCCCTACGCCTGAGTGCTCGCTGCGCCCGTTTCTACGCACGCCCGCCCTTCGCCCGATGTGCTGTCTTGTCTCTTTCTGCGCGCGTGCCTGCTTGCTCGCGCTGCCACGTCTGCTCGTTTTCTCCGCCGCTGCGCCTGCTTGTTAGGCCTGCTGCGAGCCCTCCCTCAGCTCTACTACGCGTCCTGTCGCTCGTACTTCCACTATGGCGACTCCTAGAGTTCTTCGTTTTGACGCTGACGGTCGACCCCTCGAGTTCTCGGTCTGGCTCCTGCGCGCGCGTCGCCTTTTAGAGAGTCAGGTCCAGGCGGGTGAGTCCCTCTGGGCGCACGCTACTGGTGACCTTCCTGCGCCCGACGACCCTACGCCTTTAGGCTCTGCCCCTGACGACGCTGGTAGAGCCCGCTTTGCCAGCCAGCGTGCTGACCTAACGGCGTGGAAGTCGCGTGACGCTGCGGCCTGCATCGCTCTTAGCAGCCTCCTCCCTGAGTCTGAGGAGGCCCACTTTACTCAGGTTCGCACTGCTAGTGAGTTCCTGACTGCGATTAAGGCCCGCTACACTACTCCCACCACTGTCTCTCTTGGCCGACTCTTCCTACCGTTCCTGTTCCCTGACCTCGCCTCGTTTGAGCGCTCTGCTGACTTGATTGCTCACCTCCGCTCGCTTGATTCTAGCTACCGCGCTGCCTGCACTGACGCACAGCTTGCACTGCTCCCTCCCCCCATGGCGATTACTATCTACTTCATCGCCACTAGCCTCCCTGACCGCCTTGCCTCAGTCCGTGACACGCTTCTTCTGAAGCACCCTAGTGAGCTCACTATTGACGTCCTTGAGTCTGCGCTCAAGGACGTCGAGAGCAACCTCTGCTCCGTAGCCTCCGCCTCTGGTGCTGTGCCCCCTCCACTGTTCCACGGGTGCACTGTCCCTCAATTGCCCACCTTTACAGCTTCTCTCGCCACTGCTGCTACTGACGTGACCGCAGCTGCTGTTACGAATTCTTCGCGGTCTCGAGGTAGAGGTGGCAAGAGGGGCGGTCAGGGTACAGGTGGCGGCGGCGGTGGAGGCGTTGGCGGTGGAGGTGGCGGGGGTGGCGTGCCGACTGGTGGCGGCGGGAGTGCAGGGCCTGGAGAGGCGTCTCGTGCAGCGGCCGGTGACCCCGCTACTGCAGCTGGTGGAGGCGACGCCCAGGCTCGTCAGCCACCTTCTGGTCTGCCGGCCGCGGCGGGTGGAGCAGCGGCGTGGTACCTGGCCCAGCGGCAGCAGCAGCAGCAGCAGCCCCTCCCCTTGCAGCAGCCCCCGCAGCAGCAGCGGCAGCAGCAGGATTCGGGGCCAGGACAGCGTCAGCCTCAGCGAGGTGTTGTTCACCCTTCGTGCACCTATCAGCTTTTGACAGGTGCTCGCCGGGGCCAGCCTTGTGGTCGCACCCACCCTCCTGGTCAGTGCTTTGCTCAGCTCACTGACACGGTTCGCTTGGCCTACGGCGTTGGAGGCCCTGCCCCTGACTGGTTTCCTCTTGTTCAGACGTACGGCCCTGCCCTTTCGGGCATGTCAGCTTCTCAGTTGCTTGATCTCTTAGGAACTCCTCATGCTATGTATGCTGTTGTTGACTCTAGTGCTTCTGACTCTGTTTACTCGAGTGTTGCTAGCTTAGGTGCTTGTCTTGCTGAGTTGCCTCTTGCTAGTGTAGGCACTTGTGTAGACACTAGTCCAGGAGCTCGTTCGGCGGACGCTTCGCTGTCTTTCACTTTGGACTCTGGGGCTTCGCACTGCTTCTTCAGGGACCACACGACACTTACTCCGCTTCCTGCGCCAGTCTCTGTGGCACTGGCTGATCCCACCTCGGGACCAGTCACTGCTCGCTACACTACTACTCTTCCGTGCCCTGCTATTCCCTCTGGGTCTCTGACTGGCTTTCATGTCCCCTCGTTCTCGAGGAACTTGGTGGGCGTGAGGCCTCTTGTGAGTCAGCACGTGGGTGTGTGGATTGAGCCCTCTGGTGAGACGGCGGTTTGTGTTGACGGAGACACTTACGCGCCTCTTGCCACCTTTACAGCGGAGCCGGGCTCAGGTCTCTACACACTTCACACTGACCCTGGTGTGCAGCAGCAGCAGCAGCAGCAGCAGCAGCAGCAGCAGCAGCAGCGGCGGCGGCGGCGGCGGCAGCAGCAGCAGCAGCAGCAGCGACTCCTGCCCCCGGCCCCGGTTACTTCCCCCAGTTTGGTCCCTGCGTGTCACCAGGTTGCTGCGTCCCCCCAGGTAGCTGTGTCTGGTCAGGTTCCCATGTCTGGTCCAGTTGCTGCGTCGTGCTCCTGCCGGTCGCTTGCACACCCCACCGTTCTGTGGCACCACCGGACGGGGCACCCGTCCCTCCCTCGTCTGCGCGCTATGTCTCGTCAGCGACTTGTCTTAGGCCTCCCGCGTGTCTTGCCGTCGTTGTCACCTTCGCTTGCACCGCCGTGCGGTCCCTGCGTCGAGGATCGGCTGCGCGCCACCCCTCACTCCTCCTCCCTTCGTCCGGCCACCGAGCCTTTTGAGACGCTCCACTTGGACGTCTGGGGCCCCGCCCCTCGCCTTGGCCATGAGCGTGAGCGTTTCTTTTTGGTCGTTGACGACTACTCCCGCTACACCACAGTGTTCCCCCTGGCGAAGAAGTCTGAGGTGACTTCTACGCTGATCAGGTGGTTGCTTACCACTGAGGGCACTCGTGGTCGTCGTGTCAGCTGTCTTCAGTCTGACCGTGGGGGTGAGTTTCACTCCGGCATCCTCGCTGGATTCTGTCGCGAGCAGGGCATTCGTCAGTCCTGGACGCTTCCAGAGTCCCCACAGCAGGATGGGGTTGCTGAGCGCCGCATAGGCTTGGTCATGGAGATCGCCCGCACCTCCTTGACTCACGCTCGTGCCCCCCATTTTTTGTGGCCCTACGCGGTTAGGTACGCCGCTCACCAGCTGAACCTCTGGCCACGCGTCTCTCGGCCAGAGGCTTCACCGACCAGTCTTTGGACCGGGTCCCCTGGTGTTGCAACGAGGTTTCGTGTCTGGGGTTGCTTGGCTCTTGTCCGCGACACTTCCGCGGACAAGCTCTCGCCTCGCGCCGTTCCCTGTGTCTTCCTTGGTTTCCCTGAGGACTCCTCTGACTTCACCTTTTACCACCCTCCCTCTCACCGGTTCTTTGACTCCCGTGACGTCCGTTTTGAGGAGTCCACCCCCTACTACGTCAGGTACCCCAGTCGAGGTCTCCCGGTTCCTCCTCCCCCTCTCTTCCTGACTTCCGCTCCCCCTCCTCCTCACCCGGTACAGCCTCCCCCCCCTGGTCCCGCCCCGTCAGGTGTGTCCCAGGCTACCCCTCCCTCCTCGGTAGCCCCTCAGGTGCAGCCTCCTTCCCCGCAGTCCTCCTCGCAGCCTACTGCAGACCCTGTGGGAGCCGGTGCCCTGTGTGCACCCTACAGGTGCTAGCTCTGGGGGTGCTAGAGTTGGAGCTGAGCCCGTGGTTGCAGGAGACTCTTGTCTTCCGGGAGCTGGTGCTGGTCCTGCTGACTTTGGGGGTGCTACGTCTGGGGGTGCGGGTGCACCTTCTTCGGGTCCTGGTGAGCCTGGTCGTGTTGCTGTTGGTGGTGCTGACTCTGGGGGTGGTGCGCTAGGTGCTTTGGAGGGCGGTCTCGGGGCTGCCGCAGCCCCCGACACTACTCCTCCCCCCCACCCCTACCCGACCCGGCACCAGGCTCGTGTTCGCCGTGCCCGTGAGGAGCAGCTGGAGTTGGAGAGAGAGGAGAGAGAGTTGCAGCGGCTGGAGGAGCAGCAGCAGCAGCAGCAGCAGAAGCAGCTGCAGCAGCCGCAGCTGGAGCCGCCGCAGCAGCAGGAGGCGC